AACTCATATTTTTTATAAACTTATTTCCAACCATGCATTCTCAGAATAAAATTTTTTACAAGGAAATCAAAAATTATTTCCTACTTTTTAATAATACATTTTTCAAAAAAAAAACATGGGGTTCAAACACAATCTTATCATTTTTGTCCGTCTATGTTCATTACAAGTCTTGAGAATTTATTTTCGAAATTTTCAATTGTGTTTGAATTTATTGATGGTTATGTAAGGTCACGTTTTATTGGGTGCCAAGTCGCCACTTCCATAACATCGTAAGAACAACCAACTTGTCGGCATGCTAGTGTCATGTTATCATATGGTCAAGTCCAATATTGTGTAACAAACATGCATTACAAGTACAAATAAATCAGTGATTTCCTCCATGATTAGTACTCTTTGCTCCTTGCTTAACTTGGTTATAGTGGTAATTCGATTCAAAGACTGTCAAATATTAAGAAGATGGAGTAGACTGCTCTTTCTTTACAAAGTCCTATACGAACTTATGCTCGTAGTCTACTATTGTCATTGACTGAAGTGCCATTTTGCTCAATTTGAAATGTGATGTTGTTTAATCATCTCTTATTAACCAGTGATTACTGTTTGACTAATAGCAGCTTTAAATGAAGAAGACTAGTTTTTTTATATAGAACAATTGGGAAGTTGTGAAAGCTGACACAAGTATAGGAAGCCAATTAGTTGGCAAAGGCACCATGTATTATTTAGTTCTTTTGTAACGAATCGGACTTGTGCTCAAGTCGTTCTCTTACGTAGTGTTTGCTTTGAAAGAGCTCGTGTCTCCCAATATTTAACTTATATTTCTCATAAGGCAGAGACTCGTTTCGTGACATCTTTGGTCCATTGTAGACTTTAAGTAATGTTATTCGATGTAGGTGTTCTACCTCACATTCATATATGTTCGTATATATCTATTGGCTATCTCAGTATCCAATGAGATTATGAGAGAGACGTAACACGCCCCTGACCAAAGGTTGCATCTAAATTCTCACCTAAATCTGTTTCCCATTATTGGAATTTGTTGCAATTGTCGAGTTGTAATTGGATTTGGGGCTTGTGTTGCCTGGTGTTGAGTAAGAGTAGGTGAAGTATGTAATCCATAGTCTGTAATTCACTGTTGTAAACCGTCCTTGGGCCGCCGCAAGGCCAGAAGTAGACGCTCGAGCGCGAATTACTAGAGCCTACCACTCTTGGAGCATCCGAGTTCCGCTCGAGCATCCTTGAGGCGCCGATAACGTGCCTGATTCTGCTCTAGCGGTATTCTGGAAGAGAAAATTCTAGCTTTCATCCTTCAAATAAAAAAATGATGGATTAAAAAAAAAACCCCTTTTATAATTGCAATTTAATTTTTGACCTCACAATACAAAAAATCTGACTCCGCCCATGCCTACATTGCCTATTATGAGACTGTCATTCAATGGAATTTGAGCTTTTAACATATCTAAATCTGTCCCTGTGCTGGGAGTTAAGCTGTGCCCGTGGAGATCTTGAGCCATAGTTCCCAAAGCAGAGGAGGATTAAAGCTTCATTTCTGTTAATCTTGTGCAGACGATCACTTCAGCTTCTGTTCCTCTTGTCATGTATTGGTAAAGCGAACCAGTCAGAGATGCAAAAATGCTTATGCCGGAACTTGGACAGCATCTTATTGGATTTCGTTGATGGAAAACTGACTTATCTGGAGATGATGAGCTTAGGTTCCTAAAGCCAGAAATTGTCCGAAACATTTCTTAAATAGTAGATTGTCATAGGCATGGCGAAATCCTCTTCTGGTTTGAAGTAAAGACCATTAGGCATGGACCGTCTAGGAATGGCTAAGTGCCCCGTATATCGGCTCGTAATTAGAATAGGACAGTTTACGAGTAGATAGATGTATAATTCGGTTCGAATCGGATAAAATGCTCGGACCCAACGATTAATCGACTGGTCTGTTAATATTTTTAAAAAAAATAGATAATTTTTTTTTTTCAATGATCGATCAATCAGCCTTTTGCAATTAACATTGGCTATATTTTAAAAATTCAACGATTTGACTGGATTGCAAAAAGATTATGACTTATCTACTCTAAACATGAGGCATAATTATCACCTACAAAATTATTGAGTTTCCTGAGCAAGATCACTCTATTGCTGAATATTAATTTTGTCCACGTAACAAATGAAGACATTACAAATTTTCATATTAATTACGCTCAAATTAATTGTCACTTTTTTTTTAGATTTTTTGACTTATGGAATGTTTGTCACTTTTTGTATTGTTTCGCTTTTTCTAACTTTTGTCAATTTTGTTATCGTTCGTCACTTTTTTTAGTTTTTATTAAAAAAAAAGTGACATACATCACTTTAATTAAAAACAATGTCACTTTTTAATTAAAGTGATGTCACTTTTTTACTTCTAAAATATTTTTCATAAAATTTTTCAAAAAATTCCTAATTTTAAAAGGTATTCGTGTTAAGTTGCGCATCGCAATTTTCACCAACAATCACTCCACTTCAATTTCCACAACCCTTAATTGTAGCACATTTCCCCATTTATTACACAAAACATATGCCCTAAGTGTGTTTGATTGTACGTATGAAATTTATATGAGAAGAAAATAAGTTCTAGAAAATTGAATTGTCTAAAATTTATTTATATGAAAGCTATTAATTAAATGTTTTTGATTAGTTTAATTTTCAAACTAAAAATTGTACTTGTCCATTTTTTATTGATAGGTAGATGAGAAAGAAGAGTCAAATGAGAGGAAGAGGGAGTGAATTACCTACAAAATTAAAACCACCCCTTTTCCCTTTTTTTATTAGGAAAATATAGTAACGTGAATTAGGCTCGAAATTATTGGAAGAATTTCTTTTTGAAAAATATTTTTTATGGGAAAAAATATCTACCATATACTCCAAAAGTAGGAACTCGACAAAAAAAAAAAATCATTTTCCATAAAAATAAAACCAGTCAAACACACCATAATTTTATCCCCAAATCCAAAACCTGGAATTTATTCAAGCAATCCATTTCATCATTCAGCAATATTTTCACAATCACGCTATATGTATACCATCCCTTACACCTTTTTTTACACTCTCCCACACAACGACATCTACACTCTTGATTTTGAACTCATCTATCACATTGCTGTATAAATTTCCTCCACATATGAGGAAATGTCATCCTAGTGCAAAGGAAGAATGTACATATAGCATTATTCATATTTTCGCCAAAAGTCGTAATTATTTGGTTTTTTAAAGGGCATTAAACAAGTCTCAAAATCTTCCGACAATCTGAAAACGAGTACTGCAGCTTTCAAAAACCATACATCACATCTACCTTGAACTATTTTAATGTTTAATTTTGCATATTTTTATTTATTAAATTTTTTATTGTTAATCTGTTTTTTTTCCAACCATTTTAAAAAAGAACCCTGTAATGTTTGACATAAGATTCTCAAATCTCCAGGTCGCCCTCACCATAACCATAACTAAGACAATTTATACTTTGGCAGCACTGTAGTCTTCACTTAGACGTCATTGGCAGCTCAAATTGAACAATAAATTAGCCTAAGTTCGCATTCTACAGAATAATTAATTAGCAATTAGTTCAAATTTAACATTTCCTCCATCCAATAATGTCACGTGCTTCCTCTTTTTCGGTAACTTGGTGGAGTCCGTGAACTGGGCAGCAGTTCGAGTCCGCAATTCCTCTAAGCTCTCACCTTCTCTGGCTCTCTCAAGAACCTGAAAAGTAAGCAGGCAGTTAAGAGTTGCACTGGAACATACACAAAAATGTGCCTAGGTTACTAGGCCAACTTACCAGATGACGACCATACAAATGGGTGTTTGAAAGAGCTTGAAGAGCATTCTGACATTCTTGCTTTGTAACATACTCTACAAAAGCAAAACCATTGTGCTTGCCAAACCTCTTTGGCAGCCTTAAACTCTTTACCTGCAGTGTACAAATCAAGTATGTTGTAGCATTTATCAACTGAAGACTGATGACAAATCTACACACATCAAAAAACTAATATACATCTTTCTTTACAAGGAAATCTCAAGCTCTATCGGAAAGGGAGACAGAACGGGATTTTTAGATCTTTATTTGTACAAGTCCGCGGTGCTGGGAAAGAACTCACTCTATTACAGATTACCCATCTACAAAAAAGTCACAATCCATTCATCTTTGGCCCCAATTTGGTTTAGCTACAAAATTTGATAAAAATCTAAGTCAAAGTCAACAATTAATTTTAACTATATATTTCAAGGGATTCACAACTTTTATCAACTTTTTCAAACACAAATTTCATCAACTTTAATCAAAATCTATTAAAAATATGATTTTTAGCAAAACCAAACGGGGGCTAATATCTTCTACATGTTATCGGCGAACGACAACCTTTTGCAAATTGAATGGTAAAGAAATCAAATAGCAACACCACCATCCCACCACCACCACCACCTCCACCCCCACTTCCAAATAAGAAATAAAGGCGACAAAACCAACCAAATGGAGAAACATTTTCAAGGGCTGGGTTGATTCTACCAAATAATATGTCAGTGAAGTTCTAGATTTAGCTGCCTTGAATCAAAAATGCTAAAAATTTGATAAACGTGTTCAATGGTAATGATGTTGAGTATAGAAATGACAAGCCTAAGAAATTTGACACTACCAATGAGCCCCCACCCACCGCTCGTTGAACGTTCCACTTGAGCACATCTTGATGGAAGTAGAAAACCGAACAAGTGCTAGATCTTTTTCCCAGTCAGAATTGTTGAAAATTATTTATTGCAGCTGAAATTTAAAAAGAAATAAATAAATGCCTAGTATTTATGGGGAAATTAACAGGCAAGAATAAAGGGAAGGAGTGATACACACGACCTGTTAGTTGAAATTTAATTATACCAAAAATGCTACAAATACAAAAGAGATATGGGAACAGAAACTGGAGGTCGATGTCGAGCTGAAAGGTTCGTAAATACTATCATGCTGCTCAACCATTTAAATCACCGAATAAGTTACAACACTGTTTCAAGCTTGACGTCAGCGGGCAGTCAAACTTAAAACCTTTTCAATAGAACAAACATCAAACACCAAAATCAAAAGAGAGTCCAGAAATTTTTGAACAGGCTACTTTTAAGACAAAGCAAACATGGTTGAAAGGAACACAGCATGATGTTCAGTTTGAACTCTAAAAGAAGGTAACATAATTAGGCAAAAGGAAAAAATATTAGCAGCATTTGCCATTTCCTTCCTCCAGCATCCCTAATTAAAAGTTCTCACTTTAATTATCACTTCCAGTAGCCAAAAGATTTATCGAAGTACAAGTTAGGAGGCAATTGAGAAGGAGAAAATAGTTAAATCAACAAAACATAGTAGTCCTCATTCAAAAGTCGAGAATTATCTACACATCATATTTTATTGCAACGAAATAATAAAGGAAAAATAGAATCAATTCATCACAGCATAAAATGAAAGACTATACCTGGCCAAATGGACTAAACAGTTGTCTAAGATCTTTTACTGTTGCTTCAAAAGCTACATTCTTTATGATCAATTTCGTTGAACTCTTGTTGCTGTCAACTTTTTTATGTTGATGTTCACCCTTTTTAGCACGACAAAGTTGCAATACAAGGGCATGCCCATCCAACTTAGTTTCCTAGGGTGAGAAGGAAGGTGAGAAACACATGAAGACTCTCATCAAATGCAATTGATGTACACCAAAATTAGCAGCTATTCAGAGTATTACCTGTAGATCCCTGCAAACTTTCACTGCTGTATCGACAGAGTCGAACTCTATGAAACCAAAACCCTTAGAAACGTTCTTTCCATTTTTGAAATGCTTATTTACCTAAGTAAGAATATAAAAAAAATACAAGAGAGAGCACTGACGACAACAGCAATAAATGCAACACAATAATGTAATACACAGGTAGTAGTACAAGTTGGCAGAATCATTAAAGACCTACCCTGACACTTAGTATTCTTCCTTCCTTCACGTGCTCTGTGAAATGCCTTTTCAATTTCTCGTCAGACGTTTTGAAACTCAGGTTCTTTACACATAACGAGCGAGACTGCAACAATATGACAAAAAGATTGACTACCATTAGTAAGAACTGTGCTAAGTAAACATCGATATAACTTGAAACACCTAAAAAGTGCGTCCCAATATCTTGCACTATAAGTCAGGGAAAATGTCACAAGAATCTCAATGTTATTGCACTTTATTCCTTCTACCTCTTACTATCAACAGATTACTTGGCATAATAATAATAATAACTAGCACTTGCAAATCAATATTGCATCAAACACAAAGTAGCATTAACCATGCAAAAGGCCTAACTCAATCCTGAAAGCCATATAATTGATTGGCAGCAGGTCAATGTGGAATATTTATAAAGAATAACATGATTTATTTATAGATCATCAGATTCCCAAAATACATAAAGAATTGAGTCCATACTCTTTCATCCCATATGGACTTTGGAACCAAAGGGACTAGTTCTGTTTGTAGAACTAATCTACACCCAAAATATACACAAAACAAAGTTCAGCATCCCCATGTTGGTCCGTCAAGGGAGTTAGGAGCCAAAAAAATGGACAGGGTCTAGGGGGGCCGTAGATAGAAAGGAAATTGGCAAACCAATAATGAAGATTGCAAGTAAGCTTGTTTCTTATTTATAATGAAGATTAAAGAGTATAAAAGACATTCCGTCAAGTATGCTAGTATACTACAGAGGATGATAAACCAAACAATTACAGAGTCTAGAAATAACCTCAATTCTATCAGGATCAACATCCTCATCTGTTTTATCTTCCAGTTGTTGCTTTTGCAAAATTCTCTTGGAGTCACATTCACCCACAATGACATTATTATTTGAATCACCTATTGCAATAGGAGTTTGACTTAGAATATAGCCAGGCACCAATTCCAAAAACAGTGGAGCTCCCCTGAGGTGACATAAACCATTTTCAACTTCACAACCAAAANGACATGTTCACTGAATTAGCACTTTGTGAGTAACCTTTGCTACTGAAGCATTGTTGTTTTGAAATTGAATGATAAAGATCCTTCTGTCGAAAACATTCTATAACCTTTTGCTGACTTAGAACTTGTAACACCTGACATCTATAAGTACTTGATGATGGGCTTGCCTCTGGAGATGTAATCAGCTGGAACTAGCCTAGCTTGATCTTTACTGTGTGATTAAGAGGAGTGAAATAACAGATAACTTGAATATACATTGGGAGCTCGCTAATGTCCTGGCATCTTTTGTCCTTGTGTATAGTGAAATTGGATTTTCTTCAAGCACCAGTCATATGTTTATAATTGTGCAGTGGAAATTGCTTTTAGTGATAATCGAACTTACAAAATTTCATTCCTGAATCTTGACAGTAATTATTCGTTTTATGATTATTTCATTTTTGATACTCCAGGTTATCTTCGTTGAACCAGCTGACGCATTTTCGTCTTTTGAAGGTTTACATTACAAGTGCTACAAGTAAGTTCATTCACTGCCCACGTCTGTCATGGGATATTATCGGCTTTATTGCAATTACTTTAAAAGTATATTTTGTGCTCCTATCAGATAGAAAAAGATCCCATGATCCTAAACTATTCTTATCGTCGGCCTCAATGGTAGAATCAGTAGGGCACGTGAGAGGCAGTGACATACATACATAGAGAGAGAACATCTGAAAGTTTATCATCCAATTATTAGCACTTTTGGCAACTTATTGAAAATGAAAGAAGTCGCAATAAACTTTCAGATGTTCTCTCTCTATGTATGTATGTCACTGCCTCTCACGTGCCCTACTGATTCTACCATTGAGGCCGACGATAAGAATAGTTTAGGATCATGGGATCTTTTTCTATCTGATAGGAGCACAAAATATACTTTTAAAGTAATTGCAATAAAGCCGATAATATCCCATGACAGACGTGGCCAGTGAATGAACTTACTTGTAGCACTTGTAATGTAAACCTTCAAAAGACGAAAATGCGTCAGCTGGTTCAACGAAGATAACCTGGAGTATCAAAAATGAAATAATCATAAAACGAATAATTACTGTCAAGATTCAGGAATGAAATTTTGTAAGTTCGATTATCACTAAAAGCAATTTCCACTGCACAATTATAAACATATGACTGGTGCTTGAAGAAAATCCAATTTCACTATACACAAGGACAAAAGATGCCAGGACATTAGCGAGCTCCCAATGTATATTCAAGTTATCTGTTATTTCACTCCTCTTAATCACACAGTAAAGATCAAGCTAGGCTAGTTCCAGCTGATTACATCTCCAGAGGCAAGCCCATCATCAAGTACTTATAGATGTCAGGTGTTACAAGTTCTAAGTCAGCAAAAGGTTATAGAATGTTTTCGACAGAAGGATCTTTATCATTCAATTTCAAAACAACAATGCTTCAGTAGCAAAGGTTACTCACAAAGTGCTAATTCAGTGAACATGTCTAGTGATACCCCCACAAATATCATTCTATCAGGCTCATGTTAGCCAAGATTGTGATTGCTAGTTGCACAGCTGTCACATGAAAGTATGGACAACAAAAGTCTTAACTACTCAGCGCACGTGAGAATAAATTGCTGAAATAAACTCCTTATTCAAATCAATATTTAAGATGAAGGCGCTAATCTAAACTGACCTAGTACAGAAGATACTTTCTAATTACAGAACTAGAAAGACAGCACCTTCGTATCGAACTTTTCTGGATGAACATACAGTCTGAAGGACAGCCACCACTTATCAATATATAGACTATTGTATAGATAGCTCTCTCTGAGGCAAGAGAAATACGATAGTAATACAAGGAGAGAAACTAAATTTCTTCTGATATAAATTAATATATATGAGGTACTACTTGTCATTGTTGTCAAATGTTTAACACTTCAAGCTCGATTTTCAAAGATCAGAATACAGCATACATCCAAAAATCAAATACTGAATCATCTAGAGAAAATAGAAAAGGAGAAAAATGAAAATGAATACCAAAGCCAAGGTTTTTGTGGGAGGTAGAATGACTTTGTCCAAATTGCCAAATTTCCTGAACATATCAGCCAGTTCACATTCAGATGAAGCATAAGGCAAGTTCTTCACCAAGATAACACGACTGCTTCTCTCTAAACCATCAGTTTTCCAAGAGGCAGACTCTAATAAGGCAACATTAATTCCAGCATTTGAAAGAGCTTTTTTTGTCTCCGCAATCACTTTAGTTTCTCCCAATGCAATTCGCACAGCAAGATCATCAGCTTCTCTATCTAGTAATTCACTTTTGCTAACACCAAATTTCCGTGCAACGTTTTCAACGACCTACAGTGATAAGATCATCAAGTTCAACTCAGAGACCATTAAGAAATTAACGAACAAATTCATGCAGTGCAAGCATTGCGTATGCATAGAAGAGAAATAAAGGGGAGTAAATGTATTCGTCTAAGGGGAAGCAAGTGCACACGATCATTGTCTCTTTATTTCAGTAAAGGAGTCTTATATGGTCTCATTGATCAAGGAAATTTCCGAATAATTTCGAAAGAATTAATTCCAGGGACTATCTCTGACGTTAGATAACAAAAGAGATGAGAAAGAGACTTCGGAGGGGGAAAAATAAGAAGGAATTTCATTCATCAAGTACAATCCATTACAATGAAGATTATATTTATACAACTTGGGCATGTCTGCAAACACAATCAACACACTAACCAATAGCATAAATTTACTTAGTCATGAACAGACTGGTTGCTTGTAACCCCCATTTTAGGAATAGCAAACGACCAAGCAGTAAATTGATTTAAACCTCTCTGTTCCAGCAATTAGTTTTAGGCTCTACAGACTAAAATTTGAGCTAATTGCTATCCACTATTATGGCGGCGGATCTAAATTTCAGCCACATTTTCTCATGACTACATTCAAAATATAACATTCTAAAAATTGCTGAGCATAGCAGAATACTAAGAATGAACAATTTCAGGGTGATGAAGACACGCTTTATGAGTAACCATGCGGTCCATGCCAAACCACTAAAAGCAGATGACATAAAAATGTAAAAGCTGCATAAAAGTTTAAATTCATCTCAAAATTCATTAGAATCCATTAAATTATGGAAAACTGAACTTATACTAAAGACATATATCTGAAAACATATTTTCCTTCCAATTCTCCTAGATGAGAAGAAAATACCTGACATAAAACATTTACATACAATTACAAAGATTGATTCCAAACTTACTGTGTCGGTTCGCATGAATAAACTATTCCATCCTCGTGTATTTCCACTAGCTTCAGATGCCTTCCTTTCCTCTTTTCTCTGTTGTTTAAATGTCTTCGACCGTTGTTGGGTAAAACTATTGGTTCTGCAGATGCGAAGCAGCAGAAGATAAACTACTTATTGGTTAGGCAACCCACCCAAAATCAAAACATTAGTTGCTTTTTTATAGAAAATGAAACTTGAGTCTATGAACAAGGAAATGTTGAGAAATAGAGGCAAAAATGCTAAGATACTACATACTCTTGCTTATCAGAAGGATTCTTTTCTTTTGGAGAACTGATATGCAATAATCTCCCTTGAAAACTTGAATTGTTCAACTTTTCCATAGCCCTGAAGAAAGCATCAAACATCACAGCTTTTGACAAAAGTTGTACGATCAAATGAATACTCATAATCATAATTGGTCAGAAAATATATTCGAAAAAATAAATGATGTAAATAAGCCTCACCCACAAGATAACCACGGCAAGTTAGCAAATGCTATTGTCAGGAAAAAAAGGAACATCTAACAAAAAGATGCAAGGACACTCTCATGACTAAAGGAAATCTATGTAAACCAGAAAATGCATATACAACACGGTGAATTGAACAGGACTAAATTATTGATTATATTCCTTTGCTATGAGATAATCATTAGAGTCTAAAAGCTTCAAAATCATTAAGACATTAACTTTTGGTGTCAAATGATTAGAACAGCCAGTTCATTACACTGTACATTAAAGAATAATTGGTATGCTGAAGTCATAGTGCATATGGTAAAACTATGGGCTCTACCCCAGGAAACATTACCTAGCAGCAGATTCTGGAAGAACATAAACAACATAAGCTCTGCCCTTGAACCGTTTTGTTTCTTTATCAACAACAAGATGGACTTCTGAGATATCACCAAATTTGCTGAAGTGTTCTTCCAACTCCTCTTCGCTGTGTTCCATTAGAAAGTGTTTGATGCATAAGAAAAAGAACAATGCTACAGTTACGGCGTTTTTTGACATCTTTTTTAACAGTCCCTCACATGTTGGCCCCCTCATGTGGGGTGGGACACGCCATGTGAAGGGCGGTTAAAAAAGGTAGTACATTCAGTTTTATTCTACGAAAAATGGAAACAAAAAGAAAGTGATAACAAATGGCTTGAATTGTACGTGGTACTGTAGAGCAGATTACGGATGACAAGATGGCCAGTCTCGAGGATTCTTTCTTTTTCATCTTTTGCACTTGATGATGGGACAGCTGATTTGAATTTTTTGTTACTAGATTCTTCGGAGCAGCCATCTTCAGCCTCCCCTTCTGGAACGTCCCGTTTAAGTGTATCCTCAACAGAACTACAGTAGTTATTGTTTAGTGTCTTACCACTCCTGTCACTATCATTTTCAAAATCAGAGTCACCAGCATCATCATCATTACTTTCAAAATCTGACCACTCTTTTTTAACTCTGCTCCTGAAGTAATCCATATCAGATACAACTTTGTTGTGTACTAAACTGTTTGCTTTAACAGCCTCTTGATTCTCTGAAAATATATCGTTTCTTACTTCAGTTCCCTCAAACTCAACGTTCAGTTCATCCAATTTCTCATGACTACCTTTTACTTCGCGTTTCTTGTTACTAGCTTCTGTACTTTGCTGAAGAGAGGGAGCTGCGGGGGCATCATTTGCCCACAATTTTGACTTGCTACGTGGCTGCATGACCTGGAGAAACTCTTGAAATTTAGGGTCACCGTTCCCATAGTCCTTCTTACCATTCTTGATCTCTCCTTTTGCTGCTGCAACTTTAGAACTTTTACTACCAGCTACTATATTTTCCTCTTCCAATGAACTCCCCTGTTTATTCCATGAGTACCGACTCCATGGACGTGGAATTTCTGGATCTCCAACCTTCCAAGCAATCTGGATTCAGAAAATACTTGAATCATGTAATAGTGTATACCATGGCATACCATAAT